GAGAAAAATCAAGCTGTGGAACAATACGTAGGGATTTTAAAACCACACAGGCCCCCCAGGGAAGCAAAACTGTGTGTTTTCGTGTGTCCATATGGCAGGTGTGCATATCCACCCACAGGCGGGAGAGTCTGGGATGGGAGCCAGAAGGGGACTTCTCCTTTTCACTCTACGTTCCTCCTGTATTGTTGGAGGGATCTGTGTTTTGTTTTAGTGTTAAAAATGCATTGGAATTGTGCAGTTAAAGAAAACGTAAAACAAAATGAGACTGCCAGGCTGAGCCAGCTGATGCCTGGACTGGGCTCCTAGCGCCTCCTTGCTGGGCCTCTCTCACTGTGCGACTTCGGACAGGGAACTCCTCGTCTCTGGGCTGGAAGCAGGAATTTAAGCATTCTGGTGAAGCCGCCTGTCCTCAGGGTGCAAGCATGCATGCACACAGGTGCATACATATGCAACCATGTGCACACATGGCTATGCACCAACACACATGCAGTCGTGTGTACACACATGTACAATGCACACGTGGCCCACACCAGTACACACGTGCACAGTCATGCTTGCACACAGGTGCACATATGCACCTGTGTGCACACATGACACGCACCAATACACGTGCAGTCACACATGCACACGTCACATGCACACACATGCTCATGTACACAAACCATACAGGGATACATGCACATACACATGCCTCTATGTACACATGTGCACACAGGGCTACACACCAATATACATGTGCAATTATGCACACACACTGCACATGTACACGCATGCTCACGTGCACACACAAACCAAGCCTGGGTACATGCACTGCACATGCCTGTATGTACACATGTGTACACGGGTCGTGTGTCCAGGCGTGGCAGTGGTGCATACCCACACCTCTGCATGTACATGCCTGCAAACACACTCCGGTATGTATGGCCTGAGGTTCTGAGTCCCTGGACCTCTGAGTCTCCCTCCAATGCTGTCTCTGGATGAAGGTCCCGGCCCTCGCCTGCCCCGGTGTCCTGGCAACATTTTAACAGGAGGGCAATGGGCCAAGTTTAACTCAGACGCTGGGGCCTGGAGGGGCAGCTGAATTTGCAGTCGAGAGAGCAGGGTTTGAGTCCACACCCAACACAGACTGGCAGAAGGCGTTGGTGGGCCAGCCCCTGTCTTTCTGCACTGAGGTCTCCTCTCCTGACAAGACCAGACTTGCAGGATCATTATGGGATGGGGATGAGCATTGCCAATTGGCAAGTTCCAAGCCGACGAGAGCCTCCGTGTGTACGAGCTGCCCGAGAGACTTGTTAAAGGTGGATTCTCACAATTGTTCCAGGCGGGACCTGAGGACCTGCCTTTCTCAGGCACTTCCAGGGACCCCACTCTGAGGAGTGAGAGGCTGCACAAAACCCAGGAATTTCTCCAGAACTTTCGCGAGGTGTCTGCGGGAAGGAGAGAGACAGAGACTCACCTTGCAAGGGTCTTGTGCTGGCTGCCCCATGCCAGGCGCAGTGGGAGGGAGGGAGGGAGGGAGGTTGGTCCCTCGGAGGCCCCGGCAGGTGGCACTGTCCTTCCTGGCCTGCCGGGAAGTTGGAAGGAGCCCTGGGGCCCCCCAAATCCTGTTACATCCTGGCAATTACAGTTTATTGCTGCGGCACTAATCCCTTAAAATTAGTCATTAGCGGCTTAAGAACCATTTAGCGTTGGGTGCCCACTAAGGAGCTGGGGGAAGCGGGGAATCTGCCAGAACCAGAACTTTCTCTGGCCTGGTGGCCAGGGCTGGGCGGGGTCCGGGGCCCGGCGGTGCCTCCCGGGGTCCTCACGCGCTGTTTCTTTCCCATTCCACCTGGCAGACGCGTGAAGAGGATTTGACAAACTCGTGGGGAAGGTTTATTAAATCAGCCCGCGAGGGAGATGTGTTATCAGAGACCTCTGCTCTCTCCAGCCCACCCAGACACGTCCCTCGGGGGTGTGAGGGCTGCGCCCCACCCCTGCCTCTTCCCAGGAAAGGAGAATCCCACAATCTGAGTAGAGCCGGAGCTGCTGCATCTCAGCGCTGGCTGGGGGCCCAGCCTGGTGTAGACCCTCCCGGGGAGCCGGCAGGGGAGGGGCCAGCCCCAGGCTCCCTCCGAAAGGAAGGTGCTTTGGAGACCCCTGGCTGTGGAGGGGGAAGGGGAGACCAAGGCAGAAAGGAGCCGCGGGTCCGGATGCAGACGTGAGGTTGCACTGGGGACAGGGTGGTTGTCTGTGGCCCTTTAGCTGCCAAGCCTGTCCCGATTGCCACGGAAGCTGGGGTGGAAGGCAGGTGTGGGCAGTGGCCCAGGCTGCAGCAACCAGAAGGTTCAGCAGCCTCAGATCTTGGGAAGGTGACACAAGGACTTGGGGACAGTGGGTGGAGTCCTGCGGCCACGGGGTCTGTGGCTGTGGGATCCCCTGGTGCGGTGTTTCTGGCGTGGGTGGAGTCCGTGGCCAGTGCTCCTTGGCCACCAGGTTTGGCATCAGTGATGGCAGAGTCGGCGGTCCCAGGGTCCCGGAGCTGTGGGGTGTGTGTCCACCAGGGGAGTCAGTGCCAGAGCCACCTGAGGCTGAGCCACCTCTCCACCCTCCCGTTTTCTCAGCCTCTGCCCCAAATCCTCCCGATAAATTCCATTCCTACCTGGGCTGGCTGGAGTTTAGCTCTGGTCTTGCCATCAAGACCACTACCTTTCGGGGGGCTCCTGCCTGGACCTGGACCTGGCTGTCACCCACCAGGGACCACTCCTCCTGTTGCCCCCGGGGCAGAGGCTGCGGGCTTCTGTTCTGCCTGAGGGCCCAGCCCTCTGTCCTCCCCCAGGACAGCCCCTGACCTCCAGCCTCTGGGCCCACCCTATCCCCGCTTCCCACCTGTTGGGGTCCCACCCGCCTTCAGGGCCCAGTCAGACCCCATCTCCTAAATTGCCTTGACAAGAACCGACCCCTGCCCCTCTGTGTTCACAGCCAGGGTGGTGCTGGCTCCCTGGTCCTGAAGGGCCAGCTGAGTGGGGCTCGGTCCCGGAAGCCCCAGCTCCATGAGTGTGTCGGGGGGGCCATCACCGGGGCTGCTGGTGGTGAAAGGGTGGGTGGGAACAGGCACCTCGGCGCTCAGGCTGTGGCTTGGCAGGAATGGTGATGGGGAAAGCAGGGTGGTGGGGGCTGGGGTGCCAGGACCCTGGGATTGGCCTGGGGGGTATTGGCGGAGGACAGCCCAAAGGCTAGACCAGGGCCCCCGTTCTGATCATCTGTGGCCGTGGGAGCAGCATCTTGCGTGGGCCCCGGTGTGCTCAGCTGAGACGTGGGGCGGCGGCAGCCCCAGGGCTGCGATGGGGCCGGGCAGTCTGGGGCTCCTGGTTTCAGTGTGAGAGCCAGTGGCTGCCCAGCTCTGGCGGGGCCGTGTCTGTCTGAGGCACATGTGTGTCCAGGGGCCGAGCCAGAGCAGAACAGCCTTTGCCTGACATGGAAACGTCTCACTTCTCCTCTTGTCTGCACAGCCTGCGTCCCGCACAAAGCCTCGTGCAGCTGAACCCCACGGGCCTCCGAGGACCCCTCCGTCAAACCCTTTGTGCCCAGGAACAGAAGCCAACACTGAACGGTGACGTTGGGGGGTTGGGAGAGGACATGCAGGAGGAATCAGGGGCTTCCTGTCTCAAGGCTGCGGGGTTTCCTGTCTCAAACCCATCTCTCCCAGTGGGCCACTTAGAGGACAGTCCCCCCAACTTTCCCTGAGACCTGGAGGAAAAGGGCTTTCATGAAGGGTTTGCAGAGCCTGGTGGAGTGTTCTAATGGTGGGCGGGGGGTGCTGCGAGTGGGGTTTGTGGAGCTGGTGTTCTAATGGTGGGTGGGGGGTGCCGGGAGTGGGGTCCGTGGAGCTGGTGGAGTGTTCTAATGGTGGGCGGGGGGTGCCGGGAGTGGGGTCCGTGGAGCTGGTGGAGTGTTCTAATGGTGGGCGGGGGGTGCCGGGAGTGGGGTTTGTGGAGCTG